GAGTGCATCAGGGTGGTATCCTGACCATACTTATTCTGTATTCTGAGCAAATACTCAGAGACATTGGACTGTCTGAAGAAGCACGCAGTACCAGGATCGGAGGAAGGCTTGTTAACAACCTGTGTTATACAGATGACACCGCCTGGCTTGAGGAAAGTGGGGCGTAAGACCTGAAGCACTGGTTGATGAAGATCGAGGACTGCAGCCTGCAGGGTGGGTTATAACTTGATGTAAAGAAAACCCAAACCCTCACAACTGCACCACTAAGTAGTAACATGATAAATGGTGAAAAGACTGGAGCTGTTGGGATTTCATCTTGCTTGGATCCACAGCCAATACCTGTGCAAGCAGTAGTCAAGAGAGCAAGTGACACACCGCATTGGGTAACTCTGCTGCACAAGACCTCTCTAAAGTGTCAAAAAGCAACGACATTATTTTGAGAAATAAGGTGCACCTGACCCAAGCCATGGAGTTTTCAATCACCGCCCAGGCTTATGAAAGTAGGACATGGACTAAAGAAGAACAGAGAAAAATCACCGCACTTGAATTATGCTGCTGGCCGTGAATATTGACGGACCATGGGCTCCCCAAAGAACAAGCAGCTCTGTCTTAGAACCAAGTACAGCCAGAATGCTCCTTTGAAACAAGGATGACAAGACTCCAGCTCATTTACTTTGGACAGATTATCTGGAGAGGCCAGTCCCTGGAAACGGACATCAGGCTTGAGGGGCAGTGGAAAAGAGGAAGACACGTGACAGGCGGGTTGACACAGTGGCTGCAGCAACGTGCGCAAGCAGAGGAGTAACTGTGAAGAGGGCACAGGACTGGTCAGTGTACATGAGGTCGCTAGGACTTGGACTTGATGAGAGCGCCTATCAGCAACAACCAAGAGGTTAGCCACTTGCTCCTATGGTTTTCTCTGAATACATCCTCCCCCCCAAATTAATACATTTGAAATACACTTTTTAAAGTATTTTATCTACCTAATTACTCAGGTTCAACACGTGCTTATTTGGAAAATGGCTGGCTTAAAAAGAAAATGGTTTGAATCATATATTTGTAAAGCCACAAAGACTTTTTTTCTTCCTCAAACCAACCCAAACCCCGGGTGTACAACATGAAAAGGGAGAAAGGCTAACTCTGTTTTCTAATAGAGCACTACCAAATCACTCTCCCAGGCTATCAGGCTGACAATCAACAATAGAGAACCTGCCACGAACTAGCATGTCTTTATGGTATCCTGCCAGGAATCCAAGCTTTGCAGTGGGATAAATGGCATCATCCTAAAACATGGGCAGAAAGGAGAATAGGAAAACTGGGATTTATTGCTTTAAAGCCAACTACCTATGCGTTACAGCGGTGCGTTGGGGGGAAATATAAAAGCTCTGAGCCCACTAAATAACCAAGAATGATGGGAAGGTATTTGAGTTGTAGCGCACGCAAGTAACTATATCGCAAGCTTTATGAAAACCTCTTGAAATTGTATTTTTTCCAATTTATGAAAGGGAGAGAGACGAAAGATGGGCTTGACGGGTGGAAATCGCACACAAGCACAATATAAACGAGTCTGCCGACACTGGTGCTCCATCAAATGCTGTTTTCCATTGCATTTGTTATGACGTGGCGTCTAGGGTTCTCTTCGTCTCTGAAGATACCGTTAGAAAGGTGTCTCGCTTTTGATTTGTTTACTAGAGAAAAAGTTGACCCTGAGAAAAAAATTCAATTAATGGAGTGCCAAGATTAGAATGAATAAAAACGCGTGAAGGAAAATTGAAACGTGCCCTGTTCCTTGCTGTTTGCCCGCTGCTGCGACATTTTCCTTTCGTATAAAGTTTTACACAATAATACTGAATATTTTCTCTCTCCAAATTGAGAGAAAGATAGCCTGCCAAGGTAGTTTTTCTCCCTCTCAGGATATGTGGAATATTAATATCTATATCTCTGTTCACACTAAGGGACAGGTAGACATTTTCTCCAATAATTGCCGGTAACTTCAGATTTCAGCCAAATTGCTGAGAAGTCCAAGATCACAAGTAAAAACTATTGACTGCAGTATAATATTGAACAGCATTTAGAATTTGGGATTAAAGTGACCCCAAATGGTCATGAGTCAATGATGAAAAATTTTAAATGGTCCAATTTGTGGACATTTGGGCTTCTTCCATGGGTTTCGTGAATATTTGAATTTTTGGCCTAAAAAAACCGCAAAGCTGCATCAAGAGACTGATAAGGCCGGAAAAGAGGAGAATGAACAAATGTGGGAATTCCTAAATGAGAGTAAAGGCTTTTTGCCTAGGATACTGGACCCAATTTCTCCTCGTGAATTCCTGATTCATCCTCAGGATTCTACTCGGATACCATCGACTTCAATATCCTTGACCACCACGCATGCCTCCCTGCCCTCATGTACCTGGGGAGCCTCTTCCCTGTGCTTCCAGCACACCAGTGCTGTTTGCGCTCATGGTCCTTTTCAGGAGATATTGGGCCTGTTTTTTGCCCCAGCTCCTCCCGGCCCCAATAGACTGTAGCATTTTGAAGACAAGGACTGTGGTTTCTGTCATTTTTGTATACCCGGAAAAAGCCACAGAATGAGTGTTTACTCCATGAATAAACAAACAGAATTCATGATCAAGCAG